AAATAACCAAGTAAAAGAAGCTTCCACACTGTGTTTTAAAATGATAAAACAGGAAGATGGTCCAAATAAAAGAACTCATGGAGCAGCTGACTTCCTCATCTCCTAGGAGCTACATAAAACATTTAGATAGCCCAGACATTATTATAATACTAAGAAGGAACACCCATATCTAATGAAATTAAAAACGATGTCAATGAATTATAATGTGATGACAATTGTTAGATATTCAACCATATGGAGCTGGAGGATATCTGATTTCTGAGGAAGGCATCAAATCTCAAAAATTAAAATCTTGAGTGGTGTTTGGTGCAGCAGGCAAGACATCATTTGGGACACCCACCTCCAGCATCAGAGTGCCTGGATTCAGGTCCCAGATCTTCTCCCTATTCCAGCTTCCTGCTAATGCATACTCTGGAATGCAGCCACCTATGTGGGAGACCTGGGCTGAGTTCACGGCTCCCAGCTTCCACCTGATTTAACTGCAGCTGTTGTAGGAATTTGGGAAGTGAACCAGCGGATGGTAGATCTCTCTCTCTCTCTCTCTCTCTCTCTGTGTGAATGCCTTTTTTTTTTTTTAAGGTTTATTTATTTATTTGAAAGGCGGAGTTACAGAGAGGCAGAGGCAGAGAGAGAGAGAGAGAGAGAGAGAAAGAGAGACAGAGAGGTCTTCTATCCGCTGAGTCACTCCTCGGATAGCCACAATGACCAGAGCTGCGCCGATCCAAAGCCAGGAGCCAGGAGCTTCTTCTGGGCTTCCCATGCAGGTGCAGGGGCCCAAGGACTTGGGCCATCCTCTACTGCTTTCCCAGGCCATAGCTGAGAGCTGGATCGGAAGTGGAGCAGTTGGGACTTGAACCAGAGCCCATATGGGATGCTGGCACTACAGGCAGTGGCTTTACCCACTTATGCCACAGCACCAGCCCCTTGAATGCCTTTCAAATAAATACATTTTAAAAAATTAAATCTAAATGTGGACAAAGACTAACAACATAACTTGAAAGTGCTGACTACCGGCTCTGGTGCTGTGGTGCAGTAGGCTAAGCCTCCGCCTGCATCACCAGCATCCCATATGGGCACCAGTTCATGTCCTGCTGTTTATCTTTTGGTCCAGCTGTCTGCTATGGCCTGGAAAGGCAGTGGATAATGACCCAAGAGGAACTCCTGGCTCCTAGTTTTGCATTGGCCCAGCTCCAGCCGTTGCAGCCATTTGGGGAGTGAATCAGCATATGGATGACCTTTGTCTCTATCTCTGTAATTCTACCTCTCAAATAAATAAAAATTATATATATAATTCTATATTATATTATATTTCTCTATATATGTATATATATAAAGAAACTGCTGACTACTAATGGACATTCAAGCCATATTATCAGTTTGTAAGCTTGATGTTTCTGGAATAAATAAACAGTTTCCAAATCCACAGAAGGAGCTTTGGTCTAGATTGCCTTGGTTTTGTAATCACCTCTGCTGGTCTGAAGTCATACTTCTTTTTATGTTGGATGTAGTGAGGCTACTGACACCTAAAGTTGTAGGAAAGCAACCTCAGAAATAAAAAAGAATATGGATAAACATTGCAGTAAAAATAAAGACATGGATGAAACCTCATTGATTGTTTTAGTGGTATGTTAAAAACTTTTATAAATCTAAGTTTGTGTTTGGCCTGTTATTATGAGATATTTCAATATTATTAAGATCATCTGAACTGTTAAGCTTCTGGCTTTAATTATCTGGAGTTTTTGCTTAAGTGTACAAGTATTATTCAAACTTTGGGAGAACTATTTTTTTAAAAAAAATGCTATCAGTAATATGTGGATATTTGCTATTGCCACTCCACTTATTTTTAAAAATATCACTAGTGGAGACTGGTATTATATGCAGGAGGTTAAGCCACCACTTGTGCCACCAGCAGCTCATATGGGAGTGTTGATTCAAGTCCCAGCTACTCCGTTTCTGATGCAGCTTCTTGTTAATGTTCCTGAAAAGCCAGCATTTGATGACCCAAATACTTGGGCCTTTGCCATCCATGTGGCAGGCAAGGATGGAGTTCCTGGCTCCTGGTTATGGGCTGGCCCAGATCCAGCCGTTGTGACCATTTGAAAAGTGAATCAGCAGATGGAAGCATGCGCTCTCTCCCTGTCTCTCTCTCTCTCTCTCTGAAGTTTTGCCTTTCAAATAAACAAAAACACATTTTTAAATAAATGATAAAATTATAATAGTTGGCAATGAGATGAGGTTGATAAAGTATTACACAAACCTCAAAAGATCGTTCCATGGAGAAGAATCTACCTATTTCTATTCATTCTCAAACTAATGTGGAGTTGCAATCATTATTTGAATTATTTTAAATGTAATTTATTTTGAGAAATTTCATTCAATTCTTAAAGGCTAACTTCTACATTAATTAGCCAGAACTCCTTGCACATCAGAGCAGTTAGCCTGGAATGGAAATTCCCATTGATTCTATTTCTAGAACTTTCCAAGTCAATACCTTTTAGAGCAGTGCATAGGTAAGAACATTCTAAGGACTTTTTTTTTAAGGAAGTGGAAGTGAGAAAACTTGTCAAAGCTTCCACATGAAATAGTTACTGTTTAGACAGTAACTGAAACCTCCAGCACCCCAGTACAGGGAAAATGAAAGTGATTATCTGCAAAATTCCCATGATCAACTACAGACGTCCCTCGGAAATACACCACGGCTCCACTCCTCCAACCACGTGCACCCTCACGGGACGAATGACTCAGGAATTTTCCACGAGTTGCTTGACTTGCCTTTGCCTCAGTTCACAGAAAATACATTGGTAACAATATCTACTCATTATTCTGTGGATAAAATAAAGGACTGTGGGGTTTCTCTTCTAGAGTGAAAAGAAGCAAAATTTCAGGCACACAGAATTTACAGTGGCAATGCTAAGGAAATACGAAGAGGAAAAAAATAGACTCTGAAAACCCTGATGAAAGAGGCATTTAGAATATCTGAAGATGGCATGAGTGACACTGATGGGTGAAAAGTCTTATATGGAAGCGAACATAGGTTAAAGGTTAGGGGCCTTGGTTAAGATACCTGTACACCACTTTGGAGCAGCCAGGTGTCTGACTCTGGCTATTGACTCCAGCTTCCCACAACTGTGTACTCTGCGAGGCATGCGAGGCAGCAGGTGAAGGCTCAAGTCCATGGGGCCTTGGACTGAGTTCCCAGTTCCTGGCTTCAAGCCCCAGCCAAACTCCAACTCCTGGGGGCATCTGAGGACTCAATCAGCACATGGAAACACTATGTCTGTCCCTCTCTTTCCAGCCCCTCCATTTTGAATTTAAAAACTCTTACAGAGGGTCTGAATAACAGTAACAACAACCCAGCTTTTTGAGAAAAGGGATACCGCAGGGAACTTTCTATTGTAGAGAAGTAGCCTCTGCTGCTCAGACTATTCTTTGGCCAATGAAGCTCGGGTGGCCCTGTTGGTGGCCTGTGGATTGCCCCTGAGCAAGTAGGACAGGATGAAGAGATGCCACCTCGCCCCTGTGCTTCTGCCACAGGCCCAACCCACTTGGCTTCCTGCATGGGGAGACAGAGACGGGAAGCCCACAGCCAGGCTTTGAAATGCGTTCATTTGCAAAACAGAGATGTCACTGTGAAGCAGGGCAAGACAGTCCAGGCTTTCTCCAAGCCAAAGAGAGCTTCGTGCTCCATCTCAGACTTCTGCCTTCCCACAGTGAGGCCCTGGCTGCTTTGCCTTGAGGAGAGCCAGGTGAGCAAATCAGGAACTCCTGCCTGGCTGTGGGTTTATGAGATCACATGCCACCCATCATCAGGGCCGCTTGCCTGTCCTCTCCTTACCCTAGCCTAGGGTGGGGAACGTTTTTTTCTGCCAAGGGCCATTTGAATATTTATAACATGATTCATGGGCCACACAAAATGATTAGCCTGCTATAGATTTATTGAATTTAGAGTCCCTCCTGCGGTTGCCTTACCAGGACCAGTCCAAATGAGTTCACCTTATTGGACTTGTGGGCCAGACAGGCCTCACCCCTGCAGAATGTCACTCGTCATCAGATCCATGTTATCTCTGACCTTAGCTTTCTTTTTATTTATGTATTTATGTATGTATGTATGTGTATATGTATGTATGTATGTATTTTGAAAGTCAGTGTTACACAGAGAGAGGAGAGGTAGAGAGAGAGAGAAAGAGGTCTTTCATCCGCTGGTTCACTCCCCAACTTGCCGCAATGACCAGGGTTGTACCGATCTGAAGCCAGGAGCTTCTTCTGGGTCTCCCACGCAGGTGCAGAGGCCCAAGGACTTGGGCCATTTTCCATTCCTTTCCCCGGCCATAGCAGAGAGCTGGACCGAAAGTGGAGCAGCCGTGCCCATATGGGATACTGGCACTACAGGTGGCAGCTTTTACCGGATACGCCACAGTGCCAGCCCCATGACCTTAGCTTTCTAATCTCAGCCTTCATCATCTTTTCAATTACCCCCAAGCCTTTTTGAGCAGGTGTTAGTAGTTCCAGACTCCTTCCCTCCATTGGATAAAACCCTGTTGAAGAGCAGGGCCTTCATAGTCACAGAGCATCACCACAGAGTCCTCATTCATTGCCAAAGAGAGTCTGGCAGAGACCATTGGGATGGTTACAGCATCAACTTGACTGGGCCACAGGATACCCAAACACTTGGTCAAGCACTATTCTGGGTCTATCTGTGCGTGATTTTTTGGAAGAGATCAGCGTTGGTTTTGTGGACTGAGCAAATCAGAGTGCTCTCCCTAATGTGAGTAGGCGTCATCCAACCAGTTGACATGAAAAGAACAAAAGAACAAAAACCCTGATGATCCCATGAGTAGGGGGGAACTCTCCCTGCCTGACTGCTTGAGCTAGAACTTTGTTGTTCTCCTGTATTCAGGCTCAGACAGCAGAACCAGCTCATCTTGGATCTTAAGCCTGCTGGTTTCCAGACCAGACCTACACACAGACTCTTCTGAGTCTCCAGATGAATGATCACTTACCTTGTGACTTGTCGGTCTCCATGTCAGGCAGGGGCCAATTATTTTAAAAGCATCTCCATATTTTCAAGGAATTCCTGATAATATCTGTAAGGCTGAAAAGTCTGGGCGTGTTCACATTCTTCACAGAAAGAAAAAGAAAAGAAACAGGATATATGAATTAAATTTGGCACAGTCTTGCTAAATGAGTGGCACTAATGTTGGTAAACTGGGTAACAGATATACTGAGGTCCATTGCAAAATTTAGGTATGTTTGAAATTTTTATCATAGAAGTTTAAAATAGTATCAAATATGTGTGTCACTTTTTTAATAAAAACTTACTTTAAATAAACACAAAGAAAAGTTGCAAAAATAGTTCAGAGAATTCCCATATACCCTTCACATTATTCCCCAAAGTTAACATTTATCACACTTGCTCATTTGCTCTATTATCAATTTATCTATCTATCATGTAATTATCTATCTACCTGCCATGTATATTATAGTTTTTATATTTACTTTTTTAAGATTTATTTATTTATCTGAGAGGCAGAGTTACAGACATAGAAGGAGAGACAGAGAGAGAGAGAGAAGGAGAGGCAGAGAGAGAGAGGGAGAGAGAAAGAGAGAGAGAGGTCTTCCATCTGCTGGTTCACTCCCCAAATGGCTGCAATGGCTGGAGCTGGGCTGATCCGAAGCCAGGAGCCAGGCACTTCTTCTGGGTCTTCCACGTGGGTGCAGTTGCCCAAGGACTTGGGCCATCTTCTATGGCTTTCCCAGGCCAAAGCAGAGAGCTGGATAGGAAGTGGAGCAGCTGGGACTCAAACCGGCACCTATATGGGATGCTGACATGGCAGGTAGCAGCTTAGCCTACTATGCCACAGAGCTGGCTCCCTCTTATAATTTTTAAATGCTTAACTCTTAATTGTCCTTTTTTGTCGTATCAGGTTTTGTTAATTTATCCTGACTATGAAGCGCTATTGGTGAGCATTTAATGTCCAGCATCAAGAATGAAGTTACTGGGGCCAGCGATGTGGCCCAGCAGCTGCTGTGCGAAGCCAGTATCCCACGCAAGCACGTGTTTCGGTCCCAGCAGCTCTGCTGCTGATCCAGCTCCCTGCTGATGTGGACTTCATGGAGCCTGGCTCCAGCCTGGCTCAGCCCTGGCTGTTGTGGTCATTTGGGGAATGAACCAGCAGCAAATGAAAGATCTCTTTCTCTCTGTCTCTCCCTCTCTGTCACTCTGCCTTTCAAACAAGTAAAATAACTCTTTAAAAGAAAAATGAAGTTATTTTTGAGACTCTGCCTTTCAAACAAGTAAAATAACTCTTTAAAAGAAAAATGAAGTTATTTTTTGAGAACGTAGTGGGAGGGGTGGTGATTCTCTGAAGCCAGGATCTTTCTGAGATGTGAAGTAGGGAACAGCTTGGTTAAAACAGAAGAGAATGCAATAGTGGTTGGCATGAGGACAAGGAGTAAGTTCCCACTTCTCTTCCTTCCTATGCTAGAGAAATAAATCACCATTAACAAAGGTAACACTTGTAAATTGTGTGCCACATTGACCAGGTCTCGAACAGAACTGGTTTATTTAACTTAGGCTGGAGTAACTTCCATCTCTCATACATATCTGAAACATATTCCAAATACTCCCTCCAGGGAGAATATGAGACGAGTAGCCTCAGGATGTTTGGCCCAGACCATAAGGACAAGATCACCTAAGGTGAGAAAAGCAGCAACCATACAGGGGAAAGCACACTCAACCGAATCCTGAGTCCCATTGTCCCACTAACAAACTAACTAACCAATTAAAGGACTTTAGACCCATAACTCACTGGCTTCTGCTCTCTGCAATGTTCTGTTTTTTCTTTGAATACATAGGGCTGGTGGATGAAGTGCATAGTCATTCCTGCTCACACTCTGGGAAAGAGCTCACTACGTCACAGTCCGTTCCATAACCAGCATAGTTTCTCAAACGTAACAGGAGTCCAGAGTACCAAGCAACTGGTTTAACTTGAGCACCACTCCAGATACTTATTCACCCAGGGAATTTCTGGTACTTGTCCATCGGCTTGCCCGGAACCTTTTCAGAGCTAGTCTTATTTCCTGCCGCGGCTTATATCACAACTTTCCCACTAGATGGCAGCACAAACCCACCACAGAATCATCCCTATGGGCGCTACACACCTCAGACTAGCTATTCCAAGGGAGTCTGCAAGATTGAGTATATTGTGAATAATTACAGCTTTCCTGGCTGGTGTATCTCCCCACATCCCTTCCCTTTGCCTTTGATTTTATGGAATCTATATGAGTTTCACTATTAATGAGAACATATATGTTCTTTTGTTCTAATCCTAACAAATTGACACTGTTTAAATTATTGATATTTTGTTCAGCATTAATTTTTGCATGAATTTTGACTTGTCAAAAGTACTACATTAAAATATTATTTGTCTTAGCTACTGAGTTTTTGGCTCCTAAGGAGAGTGTCTCACTCTCCTCCCCTTAATGCCTGACTCCACTCACAGTGAAGGTTTTACCAAGAGCAGACAAGAACAAAGTAGCAGTGCCCATGGCCTGACCAAACCAGGGGCCAAAAAAATAATATTAGGAAAAGCAGAGGCGTACACAATGGTGGAGGCACTAATAGCATTAGTGTACACCAGAAGCCTTTAACCCCACCATCCAAACTCAGTCCTAATAAATGGTATTCGTGTCTGGGTACTCAGAAAATGAATGCATGAGCTAAAGATGACATCTTCCTTTCTCCTTTCGCCTATTTTATTTTCACTACCTCATGGTCTCGCTAGTTTCCCCTCTCCTCCTTCCAGAGCTCCACTGCTTCACTGGATACAGCACTCTCAGGTATCTCACACAAGTTTTGAAGAGCTCCCTTCTATTTTCTTCTTGCTGATTCCCCTAACACTGTCTCTGTCTCTGGATCTATGTTACTTCTACTTAGAGCTATGGGGAAAAAAATGGGGTAGCCAAGAAGAGAAAAGGGGCAGAAACTCAGAGAACGGAAACATCAGAGGGCCGTGTCCAGAAGCTTTGGAAGTCTCTACACTGAGACTAATAGCTTACCAGGGCACAGACAGACCCAACTAGACTTGGCACCGTGCCTTTTACAAAGGGGTGCACAGCACATATTAGTTGGTATGGGTAATTACTCAGGATAATCAGTGGTGTGTCATACAAGCAATGAAAATTCATAAAATGGGATAGTTTTTAAAATGCCCTATAAATGACTGTTTCAAGGCTTAGTCAGTGACAATGCCCATTAACACTGCAGCTAACTCCCTTTGTGCCTCTTCCTTCCTCCCAGTAGTTTCCAGGCCTTAACTCTGAAAAGTGTGAAGATCAAAGGGTAAGCAGATTCCAGGGACTTCTTGGGACTTTCCCAGAACCCAGTCAAGGTCAGGCCATGGGCACTGCTGCTTCCTTCTTGTGCGTTCTTGGTAAGCAGGGATCTGGAACATCTGTGCTGTCCACTGGTGCGTCCTGGTCCTCATATCTTTCTGCACACATCTTTCCCTGCTCTCTGGCCAGGTCACTCCTAGGTTGTCAGAGCTCCTAAGCCCTCTGGATTCCAGCTGGGTGTTTTAGGGGGAATCTCTGTTATTAGAAGGTTATATCCATTGCTCTCTCCCTGCTAAGTTCTCTATAGATTCCTACGTCTCTAGAAAGTTTTCTATAGATGACTATGTCTCTAGACAGCTCATTCCTACCTTTCATGCTATAACTCATTTCCTTTCTAATGGTACTATTAAAATGATGTATTTGAAAATTTAACAATTTAAACAGAGGCCAACTTAATAATGCAGCTATATAAAATTATAGACTAATATTTAGACTAATATTTAACAAGATAGGAAAATAAGGCTTACTTTTAATGATATTAGAAACAGACTTCTTCCATTCTTCTTTTTCTATAAATTTCTAAGTCATTGCAAGAAGAAAATTATCAATCCCCCTCATTATTATTTTTCATGAACTGTGCCTTGACTAGGTGGGGCTTGAGATATTTTACCTGCACTGTTGAAGAGAAAAGTCTTAAAAGCCCCAGTGAATCAAACAGGTATACCATGCATCTTGGTAATGCTTGTGAATAGAAGAAACTGTACTTCAGGAGGTATGGCCATGGGAAGACTCCACTATGAGATCAAAGGAAGCACATAGCTGATTTCTTTTCTCACAGAGAAAAGTGACTGCATAGATGAAGACTGTTGGACCTCTGTGAACTGTAGAAAAATCATTACATCCTGGGAACCTACAGTCGGGATAAACAGATAAAACGGATAAACAGATAAAACAGATAAACAGAGAAAACAGATAATAACATTAAGAAAAACATAGTCTTGTCTTTCTTTTTTCCTATTTTTTTCTCTTTTTCTCTACCCTCCCATTCTTTTTCCTTTCCCACTTTCCTCTTTCTTTGTTTCTCTCTCTTTCTCTCTTATGGTTTAGACCCACACTTAAAAAGTAAAATGAAGCACTAATATTAATAATAAATTTATTCAACTGAACATATATCAAATATTATTACGTTGATATGAAATCAACATGAAACTTATTAATGAGACCATTGCCGCCTTCTTTGCATGACACTAAATGTTTGAAATTGGTATGTATTTTTCCCTTACATAATTTGGACCAACCGCCTTTCAAGGACAGTGGCTTGTGACTGTTGTATTGGATGGTACCGATTAGAGAAAAGACAAGAGTGATGTTGGCATATGTGTTGTTGATTGATGAGGCTCTGATTGATGAGTATTGTTAAGTGCCATCTTTTTTTTTTAAAGATTTATTTATTTATTTGAAAGTCAGAGTTACACAGAAAGAGGAGAGGCAGAGAGATAGAGAGAGAGGTCTTTCATCTGCTGGATTATTCCCCAGGTGGCCACAACAGCTGGAGCCGCACCAATCCAAAGCCAGAAGCCAGGAGCTTCTTCTGGGTCTCCCACACGGGTACAGGGGCCCAAGGACTTGGGCCATCTTCTACTGCCTTCCGAGGCCATAGCAGAGAGCTGGATCAGAAGCGGAGTAGCCAGGACTTGAACCAGCACCCATATGGGATCCTGGCACTGCAGGAGGCGGCTTTACCTGCTACACCACAGTGCCAGCACTGAGTGCCATCTTGTAAGTGTCTTTATCTTTATTGCATGTTTAGCTATTCAGCAATATGAGCTGTCCATGCAATGATGTATCAAATAAAACACCTTTCCAGGAGCCCACAAGTGAATTTGCCAGGCAGGGCATTCCCAGACATTTGAAGTCTGTGGGTAGGCACAGGGAACTCGTGACTCTGTGTGATTTGGTGAGTTGAGGCATGCATGTGGTGTTCAGTCTGTTTGTTGTGATACAATGGGATAGACTGTTCAGGGCTCCAAGAAAATCATGCAGTTTAGTATAACTGACTTAAAAAATCTGGCCGGCGCCACGGCTCACTAGGCTAATCCTCCGCCTAGCGGCGCCGGCACACCGGGTTCTAGTCCCGGTCGGGGCGCCGGATTCTGTCCCGGTTGCCCCTCTTCCAGGCCAGCTCTCTGCTGTGGCCAGGGAGTGCAGTGGAGGATGGCCCAGGTGCTTGGGCCCTGCACCCCATGGGAGACCAGGATAAGTATCTGGCTCCTGCCATCAGATCAGCGCGGTGCGCCGGCCGCAGTGCGCCGGCCGCGGCGGCCATTGGAGAGTGAACCAACGGCAAAGGAAGACCTTTCTCTCTGTCTCTCTCTCTCACTGTCCACTATGCCTGTCAAAAAAAAAAAAAAAAAAGAAAAGAAAAAAAAAGAAAAAAAATCTAAGAGGCATATAGCAATATAAAAGCAATAGAGGTAAAATTAAGAAAAAACACTAAAGTGTAAATCACATACTATGTACCAACTTTATGACCTGTCTCCCCTCCAGGCGTATATTATGAGTATAGGATGTGTGTGTGTGTGTGTGTGTGTGTGTATCCTTAGAGCCTAGCACAGTGTCTGACACATTGAAGGAGCTCAATAAGTATTAGCGGACTACATGGATGTTTACTTGAATGTTCTCCACATTTCTTGCATGTAAATAAGCCTCCATGTGGACAGAGGGATTCCTTTTTCTCCATATTATATCCTCAGTTACCACAATAGTTTGTGTGATGTGTCAGTCCTCCATAGAAGTTTTCAAATGATTACATAGTCAAGGTAGGGAAGAGCAATGCATAAGCAAATTAACATTAAAGGAAGCATGATCATTGCAAAGCACAGACCTATCCATGGAAGTTTCCAGAAAGTCTAAGGACCAGGACAAGCCAGTCAGAGAGATTCACTCAAGGCCAACCTGGTGACATTTTTATTAAAAGTTTCATAGAATCATTTTTGTGTTATAAAAACATTTTAAAATTGAATTTCAACAATCTTTGGAAAAGAAAAAACAAGATGTAGATGAGCCAAGGGACATTTGCACCTTGGAGTGGGGATGCTGGTTATGAAGGTGGCTGGGCACTCCTGCAGTGGCTGCGTCCAGGAGTCAGTTATCCCCTGACAGCTAGATGCCCAGAATTCTGATGATTTGCTATGCCATTTACAAATCAAGCATGTCCACCAAATTACCCTGTACCACCCAACCTCCTTCTCTCTCCCACTGAAGTTTTGGAGAAGGCACCCTTGGGGTATGAATTAGCTATAGACAAATGCATCTTCTCTATTCAGGTGTTTAAAGAGAGGGTTTGTTTGGTCAATGTCCTTGGAGAATACATTTTCCAACTTTGCCACATCAAAAAAAAATAAATATCATCTGATTATATGCATTAAATTATTTTTTCTTCAGCTGTGTAAAATATCATAAGATTTTTGGTTTTGCTTTCCAACTTGGAAAGTCAAGGCTTAGGATGTTACGTGATTGTCAAGTTCTAGTAATGCAAAGCCAGAAAAATGGCTCAATAGTCTCTGCTCTTCTGTCTCATTCACTGATTGTCTGGAACCCAAACCACAAAATTGGTTTGGTCTCGGTCTTCCAAAGCATATAAGAAGAGTCACGCATTTTCTGGGCAGGCACCTCCTTGCTAAGTCCTTAGAGCATAAACATTACATATTCCATCATTCTCTTATTAAGTCCATGGACTTGGACAACCCTCACTTAGTAAATTACTGACCCTGGCTTCTATGTAAACAAATGGAGACTGTTTTATGAATAGGCAAAGGCATTTCTTTTCTTCTCATGGGGGGAGAGGAGCAGAGCTCAGCATTACTGCGGGGATGTGCCTGTGTCCCACAGTCCATAGGAAAGTGGATCTGCTGCCCACTGAAGCCAGGATGGGGATGCAGCGTATGTCCATAAAGAGAAAGGAAAAGACGAGTGGGAAAACTGGGAGAGAGAAGAGGGACATTTCCAGGAAGAGCTCAAATTATTCCACTTGGGTCCGCATATGCCCTCCAAAGCCTGGACCAGTGTAGAAACACATCACACCTCGGAAAGATTTTGGCTCACACACAGAAGAAAATTCATTGCTTATGCCTGTTTTGGATAAAGAATTGAATTCAGAGAAGGGACAGGCCTGCCAGGCAGGACATTTTCACCATGGCAAAAGCTGCTGGTTTCCTCCCCAGTGTCTTCCCCCTCTTCTTCCATGGTCACAAAACCCTGGATCAACCGAACAGTGGAGAGTGCCCCACGATCCCCTCTGCTGATCCAGTTAGATGCAACCATCTGCTGCAGAGTCAAACCCAAAGGCTCCATCCACGAGTCACGTGCACAGAGAAAGATGCTGCTGAGTCTTGCAGATAGTGTTTTCCTATTTTCAAAATGACGACGCATTTGTCAGGGTTCTCTAGAACCAATGGAGATGTCTACATGAAGGCAGTCCATGACTTACCTTTTTTACGTTTTATGATGGCATGAAAACAATGTGCATTCAATAGGCACTGCATTCGGAATTTTGTTATCTTTTCCCAGGCTAGCAACAACTACTCTATAGTGCACTGTGTGGCTAAGCTACAGTATTAGGCAAGTTAGCTATATTAAATGCATTTTTTTACTTACTTACAATATTCTCTACTTAAATGGGCTTATCAGGATCATAAGTCAATGAGCACAAATATATACACAGAGGGATTTATTTTACAAGATTGGGTTATGAATGACAGAGACTGGTAAATCCAGAATCTGAAGGGTAGAACAGCAGATTAGAGGCCCAAAGCAGACGGTCAGCTGGCAGAATTCCTTCTTCCTCAGTGGATTATTATTATTGTTTTTGTCTTAAGACAGTCCACTGATTTTATGAGGCCCAGCCACAGTAAGGAGGGTTATCTTTTCTTCTCAATGAATACTAATTTTCTTTTAAAGATTTATTTATTGGGACCAGTTCTGTGGCATAGCAGGTAAAGCAGTTGCCTGCAGTGCCGGCATCCCATTTGGGCAACGGTTTGAGTCCTGGCTGCTCCACTTCTGATCCAGCTCCCTGCTAATGAGCCTGGGAAAGCAGTGAAAGATAGCCAAGGTCCTTGGCCCCTACACCCGCCTCGAAGACCTGGTAGAAGCTCCTGGCTCCTGGCTTTGGATCTGCCCAGCTTTGGCCATTGCGGCTACTTGGGGAGTGAACCAGAAGATGGAAGACCTCTCCCTTTCTCTCTCTGTCTCTGCCTCTCTGTAATTTAAAAATGTAAATTTAAATAATTTAGTTATTTATTTGAAAGACAGTGTTACAGAGAGGAAGAGACAAAAATAGATAGCTTCCATCTGCTAGTTCATTTCCCCAGATGACTACAATGGCCAGGGCTGGGCCAGGCCAAAGCCAGGAGCCAGGAGGTTCTTCTAGGTCTCCCTATGCTTTTTCTCAAGCCAATATCAGGGAGCTGGATCAGAAATGGTGCAGCTGGGACATGAACTGGCACCCAGATGGGATGCCAGCATCACAGAACGCAGCTTTACCCACCACACCATGCCAGCCCCAAAGCCTACTAATTTAAATACCAGTCTCATCTCACAACATATTTCATGGAAACACCTATAATGATGTTTGACCAACTCTCTGGTGGCTCAAGTTGACACACGAACTTAACTGTATCAAACCATCAAAGAGAAATGTTTATGAAAAAACGGAAGGAAATGTACACCTATGGCAGGATGCACCCTGTCCATTTGGTGTCAGCAGCTTTGTGGGGCTGCTCAGGGCTGCATTGTCCTCACCACTGCCAATCAGCCAGGAACACAGCTCTCTGTGGCCACAGTGAGTTGTCCGGCTCTGAGTGCACTAAGACTCCACCCAGGCTGGGGTCTCTGGGTGGGAAAA